TGGGTATTGAGGAGGGCACCTTTTGGGATGAGCACTGGGTGTTGTATGGAAACCAATTTGACAATAAACTTCATGTATTGAAAAATAAAAAAAAATAAATTAGTAATTATTTTAAAAATAATTACAAAATTGTTGAACCATTTTAAAGCTTTCAACTCATGAATTGTGTGACACCACTTGATAAGATTTAGGGTGCCTATAACTCAACCAAAACTTATTGGCCACCATGGTCATTTTGGCCATTCTGCAGTTTAAGTTTTTGTTTGTATTCTTGTATTGTTTAATTTCATCTTATATATGTAGGCTGCAGAAGAAGAATCAGAGCACATGCTGAATTATATGGTCAGAAGGAGCATCAAATTTACATCAAACTGATCTTCACTTGATTTATAAATTATATTCACTTGATCAAAATTCATTTTGGAAAGCACATTAAGATACTTCTAATATTTTAGGATATAATATTAAAAAGAGAAGATATAGCAGCAATGTTATTTAGTTTAGACTTAATTTTTTCAATAATTCTGTTTTTGTTGAGAAGTGCAGGCTGAAGTAGTCTCTTACTATTATGAAATAAAACACATAAATTGTGAAAATAAATCAGTTGGGATTGCTTTTTAAATAGAAGAATTATCAGGTCATAAAAGCTCCATTTAATCTGTTTTCATACTACATCCGGTAACTGTATTTCAATCCACATTTTAGGACATGCTGTGATATTCTGAATTTCTCAACAAACTATGCTTTAGCTTACTTCAAACTCATTTTACTGTATAACCGTATAAAAAGAATAAAATTAAATTTTTAATACCTCAGGAGTTTTCTTTAATTATATACTGTAATAGGAATTTACCAGTCTCAAAAAGATTAGGAAATGCTACTCCATTTTGTAGATTTTAGTATGTTCATATTTTGAATATGTTCTCTGATTATCAAATACTGTTATAACAAAAATGGATTTTAATTATATAATTTGTATTTGGAAGGAGCCAACAGGATCCATTTATGTCTAAACAAAATAATCCCAGGGCACCTGGGTGGCTCAGTCGGTTAAGTGTCCAATTCTTGATTTCAGCTAAGGTCATAATCTCACAGTTCATGGGATCGAGCCCCGCATCAGTCTGCATGCTGACAGTGCAGATCCTGCTTGAGATTCTCACTGTCTCCCTCTCTCTCTCTGTCCCTCTCTCCTTCTCTCTCTCCCTCTCTCTCAAAATAAATAAACTTTGAAAACAAAATAAAATAATCACATATGTAATATCTATCCCATTGAGAAAACA